GCGTCCCAAGAGCTGGGATCAAAAGCATGCACCATGGTGCTCATCTTCTATCTTTATGAGTGTCTTCAGGCTTCCACTGCAAGCACCTTTACCCAATAAGCCATCTTGCTGGCTTCTTATTCATCTTTGTATTCCCTTAAAAATAATATAGGGTGGCCAGGTATAGTAATACACACCTTTAATACCTCCACTCAGGAGGCAGAGACAGGTAGATCTCTGTGAATTCAAGGCCAGCCTGGTCTAGGTAGTGAGTTCCAGTCCAGGACAGGCTTCAAAACTACAAGAAACCCAGTTTCAAAAAAAATAATAATATAGGGTTGACATGTCTCTCACACCTATAATCCCAGCATTCAGGAGGCCCAGACAGAAGTTTGAGATCAGTTTAGGATACATAATGAACCTAAAAGCTAATCTGCCATACAAGGTGAAACACTTTCAACAAATACAACCAAAATAATAATAAATGGTGCTTGCTACCAAGCCTAATGGCTTGAATTCAATCCCCAGGACCCACAGAGTGGAGCCAGAATGCCTAAAGCTTTCCTCTGACCTACCCACAATCACACACACACATACACACACAAAGTGAATAAACAAATGTACAAAAAATAAAAGAGCCAGGCGTTGGTGGCGCACGCCTTTAATCCCAGCACTCCGGAGGCAGAGGCAGGTGGATCTCTGTGAGTTCGAGGCCATCCTGGTCTACAAAGCGAGTTCCAGGAGAGCCTCCAAAACAATACAGAGAAACCCTGTCTCGAAAAAAATAAATAAATAAAATAGCTGGAGAGATGACTCAGTGGTTAAGAGTGTGGACTGCAGAGGTCCCCTTGCAGAGGACCAGGGTCCATAACATTCACACTAAGCAACTCACAACTGCCTATAATTCTAGCCCCATGGAATATGATGCCCTCTTCTGGACTCCACAGGCACCTACACTCAAAAGCACATATCTTAACAGACACACACACACACTTTTTTTTTTAATTTTTCAAGATTCCAGACTTTTTTATGCAAGAGGATAGACTTGTTGGGAGGAATGGGCAGGCCTGTAATCCCAGCACACAGAAGGCAGAGGCAGGATTGAAGTGATTCAGGGTCAGTCTTAGGCTAGAGAGTGCTAGGCCATCTAGAGACATAAAGCAAGATCTGGAGTTCGAGGCCAGCCTGGTCTACAGAGTGAGTTCCAGGACAGCCTCCAAAACAATACAGAGAAACCCTGTCTCGAAAAACCAAAAAAAAAAAAAAGAAAGAAAAGCAAGATCTGTTTCAAACAGATAAAAACTATATGGGGGGGGCTGGAGCCATGGCTCACTGGTTAAAAGCACTTGTGCTTCCTTGCAGAGGGTCAGAGTTTGGTTCCCAGCACCCATATATATAAATCTAAAAAATTAAAAGAACCAGGCATTGTGATATATGCCCATGATTCCAAACTTGGAGGACAAGGGGATTAAGAGTTCAAGGTCATCATCACCTTCGTGGTCTGTTCAAGGCTAGCCTGGGCTACATGAGACCCGTCCCAAAATAATTCTTTTCTCCTTAAAATAATGTATGTGTATAGGTGTTTTGCTTGCATGTGTATCTGTGCACCGCCACATAAATAACTAGTGCCCCACAGAGGCCAGGAGAGGGTTGGAGTCCTTAGAACTGGAGTTACAAAGGGAAATGATAGGCTGCCTCGTATGGACTGAACAGCCACTGCTCTTAACTGCTGAGCCATCTCTCCAGCCCTAAATAACTTGTTTTGTTTTGTTTTTTGGGGCAGGGTTTCTCTGTGTAACAGCTCTGGCTGTCCTGGAATTCACTATGTAAACCAGGCTGGCCTCAAACTCACAGAAATTTTCCTGCCTCTGCTTCCTGAGTGCTGGGATTAAAGTCAGGACCACAGCCCTTTGAAAGGGGTCTGGCTATGTGGCTGATGGCTGCTGTACAACTCACTTTGTAGCTGCTTAAACCTCTGGAACTTGGCCTCCTGTCGCTTTAAAAAATAAACAAAACAAAAATAAACAAAAAGACTGGTGGTGATAGCGCAAATACAAGGACTAGAATATAGCCCAGTAAAAATCTTGTCTGCTATACAGAAGGCCCTGGGTTCAATCCAGCAAAGCTGGGGAGGAGATTTGTAAAAGCACAAATTTCAATGTTGGATAATCAGGTAAGTCGATGTGAATGTCGAGGAAACACACAAGAAGCTGCTGGGCTTCGGGCGTGCTCAATTGGGCACATGTTTCTCCAGCAGAGGCTTGTACTACCTCTACCACAGCGATTCTTATCATGGTGCCTTTTTTATTGCATGAGAGGGTGCATCAGCACGCATTTATCATCGTAATCAGCATGGTGGTGCCTATGTGTTAGCAAGGATTCAATGGATTTTTTTTTTTTTTTTGGTTTTTTCGAGACAGGGTTTCTCTGTGGCTTTGGAGGCTGTCCTGGAACTAGCTCTTGTAGACCAGGCTGGTCTCGAACTCACAAAGATCCGCCTGTCTCTGCCTCCCAAGTGCTGGGATTAAAGGCGTGCGCCACCAATGCCCGGCTTAGATACTTGTTTAAATCCAGCAGCTGGACACTGGTTCTTAAAAGGATTTGAATGGAAGGTTGACATGATCACTTGGGTACATACTGAAATTGTAGTACCTGTGTAAGACTTTGGGAGTTCTTGGGTAGACAGTGGATACGACCAGAGCTCCAGAGAAAGATCTGGGCTGGAGATACAGTGCTTAGCAGGATACAGAGGCCGTCTGAGAGAGTCTGATCACCCTCTGATGGAGCGAGGGTATGCAAAGGACACAGCTCAGATGGGGGGGACAGGGAAGGACACGGCCAGGGAAAGGGCAGTAGGGCCTTATACCATGGAAATGTCAAACGACTTAAGGATAGGCAAGTGCCCTCAAGGAGTGGGGTATACTTGGAAAAGGCGAGAAGTGAGGGAAGAGGAAGCAAAGAAGGCTTCGTGCAGTCAGTTTCAAGAAGCTGAGGAAGGCGGGGAGAAAAGGAGCTGAAGGAACGGCAGGAGAGACAGATTTGTGTGGTTTTGCTGCGCCTTTTCAGCCAGACTTTGACTAGTCAAACGGCTTAGACTGGCCTTCATCTCCGTTCCTCTCTCAGCCTCTCAAATGCTGAAATTTACAAGTATGAATCCACACTCTTTGTAGGTCACTGGAAACTTGAGAGCCTCGTTGAAGGAAATTTTTATAGGGACTTGGAAAAGTTGCAAAGTGGGTAAAAGTTATGGGCTGCTCTTGCAGAGGACCCAGGTTTGGTCCCCAGCACCCACATAGCAGCTCACAACCACATTAACTCCAGTTCCAGGGGATCTGGCACCCTCTTCTGGCCTCCATGGGGTTTTTCTGTGTATCCCTGACTGTCCTGGAACTCACTCTGTAGATCAGGCTGGCCTCAAACTCACAGAGATCTGATTGCCTCTGCCTTCCAAACACTAGAGCTAAAGGCATGCTCCAACACTGCCTGGCAAAGGGAAATAAAAATTCAATGTAGCCAGGTGTTGGTGGCACACACCTTTAATCCCAGCACTCAGGAGGCAGAGGCAGGTGGATCTCTGTGAGTTCAAGGCCAGCCTGGTCTACAGATCAAGTTCCAGGACAACCTCCAAAACAATACAGAGAAACCCTGTCTTGAAAAATAACAAATCCGCCTGCCTCTGCCTCCCCAGTGCTGGGATTAAAAGTGTGCGCCACCAACGCCCGGCCAGAGCATACCTTTAACCCTAGCATTTAGGAGAGAAGTAGGTGGGTCTTTGTGAGTTCAAGGTCATAGCAAGTTCCAGGACAGCCTGGAACTGGAAAATAAAAGTCAGGTGGTGGTGGCACATGCTTTTAATTCCAGCAGTCAGGAAGCAGAGGCAGGTGAGTGCTGGGATTAAAGGCGTGCGCCACCACACCCAGCACCTGTTGTGACATGTTGGTCATAACTAGTAAGTTCACTGTGTCATCATAAGGCCTGTCCCTCCTTAAGCTACTGATGGGGCTCATTCCCTGCCGTCATTTGTAGTTCCTGACAGCTCCTTCCACACAGCAGCAGGTGCCGGTCGGTTCTTGTTAATGGAAATAAAGCAGCTAGGAAGATGGCTGAGCACTTCAGGGCACTGGCTGCTCTTCCAGAAGACCTGGATTCAGTTCCCAGCACCCACATGACTGCTCACAACTGCCAGGAAGTCCAGATCCAGGGGATCCAACACCCTCTTCTGGACTCCTCAAGCACCAAACATCTGGATGGTGCAGACAGACATGTAAACAACACACAAGAATACAAATGAATAGAGCCCCACAGTAAACCTGGGGACCCCTCCAAAAGGCTGAGGCATAGAGGACCATACCCCCAAAATGTGTCCTAGATAGGATTAAAGGTGACACGAACCCTTCTTTCTCTTTACCTCTTTCTGTTTACCTCTCACTTGGTCTGTTTTCCTGCCTGCCTGCCTGCACAGGAAACACAAAGGTTCAGGTCTGAGGTGGTTGGTCACGGAAACAGAGGCCTGTGCAGACTTAATGGCTATTAAGTCATAACCTTTTATTAGTCATTTTCTCTTGTTCTTTTGCCTGTGTTCCCCCCCTCGGCCTGACTCCTCCTCCTCATGGTCTGTGTCCAGCTCAGGACTCCCACCCGCACCGGGGACCAACTCTTTCTGCCCCCGGAACTTCAGGTGACCTCCACAAGGTATTTAGAGGAAAAAATTAGCAAGCTCGGTCATCTTTTCTGATTTCCTGCCCTTCCCAACCATGTAGGCCTACTGACCACATCCTCTCGTACCTCATTTATACACTTCCTCAGACGCATCAATCACACAGTTCTCAGCCCCCAAACTCATGCTGCTCTCTCTACCCAGGGTGTCTGTTTAATCCTTTTCACTCCAGGGGTCCTGTCCTTGCACACACACACACACACACACACACACACACACACACACACGCACACATGACCCTCTGCATGGAGGCACCCACCCCTATTTCCTTCTGGAACTTCAACGCCCCTTTTTCCCACAGGTGACAGTGCTGACCACAATGCTCTCAGGCCAGTGGTGGCCCAGTATTTGGGGAAATCTAGGCCTGAGTCTACAAAGCCCTTCTCAGGGGCCCCAGCTCCGTGCCCTCTATCCCTTCACTTATATTGGAGCAGATGGCCGGCAGGTGTCTCTGGCTGAAGGTGACAGGTTCCTACTGCTTCGAAAGACCAACTCAGACTGGTGGTTGGCTAGGCGCCTGGGAGCGCCCCCCAGCTCCCGGCCCATCTTTGTTCCAGCAGCATACATGACAGAGGAATCACTCTCCTGCCCAAGACCAGCGGATGCTACCCACAGTGCGTCCCTCTGGAGTCCTGGTAAGCACACTGCAAGCTCTCCCCTTTGACCGTCCTGTCTCCCTGGCTTGAGTTGCAGTGGGTTTGCCTCCAGTTTCTGCTGCTGAGCCCCTCCTCTTGCTTTCCTTTAATAAGCCTCCGAGTTCACACACACCTGGTGGGAACCCCTTTATCCCCTCTAGCTCCAAGTTGTCTAGGTCTCAAGTCATTTCCGGTAGCCTTCCTCTGCATTCCTAGACAACTCAGCCAAGGCCCTAATCTGTCATCACCTGTCACTCCTGTCTATTTTTCCAGAGAGGAAGCTATTTCATGGCTCCTTGGAGGAAGTCTACCTGCCTCAGGAACCCTGGGTTACTTCTGAGCAGCCTCCTCCCTGTCCCCACAATATGTGCAGAAGTGTCAGCATGGCCCGTTTGAAGCCCTGCTTCCTGAAGCCCCTTGAGGAAGGACCGGGAGAAAGATCTCCCTCCCAGGAAGGCTCGGTGACAGAGGCCAGGGCTGTCATGGTGAGTTACAGTACTTCATCAGAGAGTGTCATCTACACTACAGCTGGGCCCTGTTCTGGCCACACTGGTGAGGGGGACAGACAGCTTCCATCCCTTAAAGGACTGAGGGCAGGAGAGGGTGACCTTAAATACAATGAGAGGCTGAGAAGACCCTGCACATACAGGAAGAGTGGCTACAAGAGAAGGAGGGGATTCGAGGAGAGCCAGTAGCACAGGCCCTGAGGGGACAGGAGGAACGCCCCGCCCACAGACTGCTTTCCTCAGGTTCTGACTCGTAGCCCAGGGCAAGGTTTGTCCTCTGTCCGGTAGGTCTTCAAGTCAGTACTCCAGCAAGTTCCTTCTAAAGTTACGTTTCTTGTTCAGTGCCCCCCCCTTTGTCAATGGCATTTTTGAGCCAGGGTCTCACTCTGTAACTGAGTTGGACTCCTTAGGTAGGCCAGACTAGCCTCAAACTCTTGTAATCCTCCTGCCTCAGCCTCCCAAATGCTGGACTTACAGGCCAGCCTGGCTCCTCCCCCTCCCTGTCTCGTGTGGATAAGAAAAAGGCCCTCTCTCACTCCCCCCATGCGTGGCCTCTCATGTCTTGGTGTCTTTTACTCTGAATGATGTGAGGAAGGGGCACTCTCTCCTCCCCACCCCCACCCCCAAAAGAAGTCTGTTCCCCTTTCCTGCAGCCCTGGGGCGGGGTTGCGTGGGGGAGGAGGGAAGTTGGCAACAGGAAGTGAGGAGAAGAGCAAAGAAGGCTGTGAGGGGAGAATTTTTAAAAAGCAGCCGGGGACTGGGGTTTCTACCCCTGCCCCAGGGTCGCCCTGGCCAGGAGCTGAACTGCCGGTGAGTAAATGGGAGAGAGATTGGGAGGGACAGGGCAGAATAACCACCTCCTCCTAACCCACTTCCCTGACAGACACGATCCCCTCCCCTCCTGTCAGAGCTCCCTGTGTATTGGAATCTGGTTGGCCTTTTCTGATGTCCAGGGTCCCTGTCCCAAAGACCTTGCATCCCCTCCCACTCCCCAAGGCTGGATGCCTGGGAGCAGCTCCCAACAGGACAGAACTCTATAGAAAAGGCTGTGTCTCTTTCTTCAGCTATCAGACCTCTGAGGCATGGACCCCAAGGAATTAGAATTGCCCCAGGAGCCTTATGCTGGGGAAGTAAAAGGCTGAGGTCCTGATACCAGCCAGAGAAGGAAGTTGTCCCCAGGAGGACAGTTCTTACAATTTGTCAGATCCTTGTGCCATAGAAACTGGAGCTGAGACAAAGATGGGACAGGACCACACTGCTCAGTTACCATCACCGTCCCCTCCCCCCAGACAGGGCCTCACTGTGTAGCCCTGGCTGTCCTGGAACTCACTTGGTAGTCCAAGCTGGCCTCGAACTCACAGGGATCCCCTCAACTGCTCCCTAGTGCTGAGATTAAGGTGTGCAGCCCCATGCCTGACTTCATGGTTCTCTCTTACCCTCTACTCAAACCTAAACCTCACGTTAGACCCCAAAAGCAGTATTGGGGGGGTCACTGGATTTATTTTTATGACTGAGCCACTTCTCAATGTGACCACATTGACTAGATAAAATTTTATGCGTATGGGTGGGTGTTTTGCCAGCATTCATGCCTGTGTACCATCATGCCGGCAGTGCCCACAGAGACCAGGAGAGGGCGTCAGATCTCCTGGGACTGGAGTTAGTTTTTAGCCCTAATGAAGGTGCTGAAAATCCAGCTGCACACCCCCTCCCTGCCGCTCCAAAGGCAGTCAGTGGTCTTAACCACTGAGCCATCTCTCCAGCCGCAGATAAATGGTTCTCTGCCCTTTAGCACTGTCTCTTCCATTGGGGACAAGTGGCAGTGCTAGCTTGCTAGAGCTGCCAGGACACAGGCTATAACAACCCCCAGTGACACCTGGACCTCATCTCTGGATGCCGCCCCTGTGTCACAGTCATATTCAAGACACCTGGTCCCTTCTGCTTGTCCCATTGTCCCTCAATCTCCTTTCCCGCATTTCTCTCCGGGGGCTCTCAGAAGGTGAGGAGAGAGACAAAACCATGAGAAGTGTTGAGCTGCTGAGGTACCATCCGGCTCTTGTTTTGTCGTCCCCCCAACCCAGACACCTGGCTCCATGGAACAGACAGAGACTCTGATTAGGGCCAGTGGCACCCTACAACCTCAGGAATGGCTCGATCCACAGGTGAGAACACCCCTGCGTCTCACGCATGCAAGGCGTTCTTCATTCATTACCCACTAACATTAGCCACACCCCTCTTCCTGTCGCAACTTAGGACCTCCAGACTGACGGTCCCTCCACCTGTCTCAATTCTCCCATCTTCAGGGTTTACCAAGCCCCAGCCGAGGCTCCCCATGGGAAGACCTGTCAGACCAGCGGGCAGCCCTGCCGTCCTGTCTGCCTCTGCCACACGTGGATGACCCCCACGTGAGTGCTTCCTGTCTCTGAATGCCAGGGTCCCTCTCGGCACCTGACCCCTGCTCCTCCAAGATACTTTCTTCTTTTCTGGATGCTTGCTCTTCACCCCCAAAACTTTAACGGACCTCACCCCTTGGACAGAGCCCTTGGTGGCTGTGGGTAGCACAGGGTGGCTTGCAGACAATACTCCAAACCTTTCCTAGGAGGAAAAGTCAGGCCTGATCAACATGACCAAGATTGCTCAAGGAGGGCGCAAACTCAGGTGAGGATTGAGGACTAGTGGCAGAGCTTAGGTTGCTAGAGCAATAAGCCAGGGGTCTGGGCTGTCGGATTTCACAGGGTAGAAGGCGACAGCAACGGTGCCGGGTAGCTCAGGCACTCCAGGTGAAATCTAAAACGACTTTTTAACTACTTCTACGCCTCCCCTCCCCCACAGGAAGAACTGGGGCCCGGCTTGGGTGGTGTTAACAGGCAACAGCCTTGTGTTCTACCGAGAGCGGCCGCCGCAGTCTGCGCCCTCCCAAGGCTGGGTGAGCATTGGCCAGGGGAGCAGCAAGGGGTTTGGGGATTACTGGTTTGCGCCTCGGGCCGACTGAGATGGGGGCGGCGAGGAAGGAAATGGAGAGGAAGGTAGCAGGAAGGAGGAAGCAGTTCACCTCCCCCACCTCCGCCCCGCCCCAAGAGGGAAGCGGTGAAGAAACAAACTGTTTAGCCTCAGTTTCTCCCATCGTTGCCAGGCGCCAGCTGGAAGCCGGCCGGAAAGTAGCGTGGACCTGCGCGGGGCTGCCCTGGCCAACGGGCGCCACCTGTCCAGCCGCCGCAACGTCCTGCACGTGAGCGCCTTCCCGCGCGCATCCCCAAGGACTTGGGGGACCTAGTGGGCGGGGTGACCCGAGGGCGCTCGTCCTCGCAGCGTTCCAGGCTCTCCTCGCTGACTCAAGCCTTTCCCCGCCCGACCCCAGATCCGGACGGTCCCAGGCCATGAGTTCCTGCTGCAGTCGGACGAGGAGCCAGAGCTGCGAGCCTGGCACCGCGCGCTACGGGCGGTCATCGAGCGGCTGGTTAGAAGGGTGCAGACCCCTGATGGGAAGGGGAGGGGCAAAGGGAAGGCGGTCTCCGGGTGCAGGCCTGAGCAGGACTCAGGCTGGAATGTGGGGGTGCCGATGTTCTCCCTTCCAACCTCCCACCCCGGCCGCGGGGCGTCTAGGACCGGGAGAACCCCCTGGAGCTGCGCCTGTCGGGCTCGGGACCCGCAGAGCTGGCGGAGCTGAGCGCCGGCGAGGATGACGAACTGGAGTCAGAGCCGGTGTCCAAGTCACTGATCCGGCTCAGCAGCCGCCGAGTTTCCAGTACGAAGTGGAGCTGAGCTGGGTGGGTTGGGGTACAGGGAAGGAGGGGTCCTCCGGCTGGGGCTCACGCCCCTTGGTGCGGCAGGTCGGAACGCAGAGGGCACCGAGCAGAAGAACCGCGTGCGCAACAAATTAAAGCGGCTGATCGCCAAGAGACCAACCTTACAGAGCCTTCAGGAGCGGGGCCTGTTCCGAGGTAGGCTGGGCTGGGCCAGCTGGGGCACTGCGCTATTCGAGCCGGCTGAATTTACTAGGGTTTCTGTTTTGTGTAGATTTTGGTTTTCGGGTTTTATTATTGTTGAAACAGCATCTCAGTATTTAATTTCAGGGTCTTCCTCAAACCTGGGCAGTCCTCCTGCCTCAGCCTCCTAAGTATTGTTGGGAGGACAGCTAAAACACACCACACTGGGTGATTTGGTTCACATCTTTAATCCCAGCGCTCAGGTTGAGGTCAGAGCCAGTTCCGGGACAGCCAGGGCTATACAGAGAAACCCTCTCTGGGAAAAAAAAAATAAAACAATAAATAAATAAAAATGAAAAGAAGTGCCGTGCTGGCCTGATAAAGTGTGCTTTCAGGATTTTGTATTCCCAATCTTTTTTTTTTTTTTTTTTTTGGTTTTTCGAGACAGGGTTTCTCTGTGGCTTTGGAGGCTGTCCTGGAACTCGCTCTGTAGACCAGGCTGGCCTTGAACTCACAGAGATCCGCCTGCCTCTGCCTCCCAAGTGCTGGGATTAAAGGCGTGTGCCACCAACGCCCGGCTGTATTCCCAATCTTATTAACTGAAACTCTAGTGAGCCCCAAAGTAGGACTTGCTGAGTCCCTGCTTTCCCCCTACTCATTATTTGAGGAGCAGATGGAGGGCGCCCTTGCCCCCCATGTGTCCAGCAGTTTTGAAGACCTTTACTGATGTCCCCCAATCCTCTGCAGACCAGGTGTTTGGTTGCCAGTTGGAGTCGCTGTGCCAAAGGGAAGGGGACACCGTGCCCAGCTTTGTCCGGCTTTGTGTTGAGACTGTGGATAAAAAAGGTTGTTTTTTCCAAAGACTTCAAAAATTTCCCCTTTCAAGTCCCAGGATCCATCCTCCCCACACACACACCTCCCCCCCCCCCCCGTCTCTGCCTTCCTACCCACCGATCCTTTTCTCCCTCAGATCACACGCGCACACATATCCTCATCTTCCCTGTGCCTCTCCTCCTAGGACTAGATGTCGATGGCATTTACCGGGTGAGCGGGAACCTGGCAGTGGTCCAGAAACTCCGCTTCCTGGTGGACAGAGGTGAGACGGCTGGGGAGGCGGGCAGTAGTGGATCTCAGAACAAGACCGGATCTGAGGGAAGGAGTGGGAACTGCACGTCTCAGCCGCTGGTCTCTTCTTGTGCATGTTACAGAACGGGCAGTAACTTCCGATGGGAGATACATGTTCCCGGAACAGCCTGGACAAGGTACTTATGTGGGAAGCCCCTCACACTCAAAAAAATTAACGTGTACACCCTCTTTGTATCCATGGGAACCCCCCCCATGTCCTTCCCCATCCTCTTCTATTGCCCTACTATGGGCCATCAACACATTGTTGTGACCTGTGTTGATTGGATTCCACCTAAATTCCCAACTCGACGTTTTGAGACTGGGTTTCTCTGGCTCTTCTGAGCCTGCAACTCAAGGAACCTCTTCGTCCTTCTAGAAGGCAAGTTAGATTTAGACAGTGCGGAATGGGATGATATCCATGTGGTCACCGGGGCCTTGAAGCTTTTTTTCCGGGAACTGCCACAGCCTCTGGTGCCTACACCATTGCTACCGCATTTTCGTGATGCCCTCGGTAAGAGTCAAGAGCTTCTGGCAGCATGCCTGACATGGGAGGAATTGTGTAGCAGAGAATGGAACAGAGGGTCCCTTCCATCCTTACTTACAAGGGGGGAAAGTGATTTGCATGCCAACTCTAGTTGTTTTGGAGGCGGAGGGGGAGAAATGTGTGTGAATGTTTATTAGCTGAAGAGAATTCTGAGTTACGCTCAAGCCACGTGAAAGTGGAGGGCTGTGGCTCAGCAGTAAATTGTGCGTTTACCGTATGCAAGGCTGTGGACTGAATCTCTTGTGCCGAGGTGGGGGTGGGGTGCTAGACAAGTGGCATTGACCATGGATGTGTGAAAGTGAAGCTGCCCACCCTGTGGATCACTCTCCCTAACCTCACTCCCTGTCCTTCCCATCGCTCTCTAGAATTCTCTGAGCCAGACCAGTGTCTCTCTGAAATAAAAAAATTAGTGGACTTGTTGCCGAAGCCCAACCGTGACACACTGCAGTACATTCTGGAGCATTTATGCAGGTCAGGAACTGAACAGCCTTGTTCATGCAGGGGAAGATGGATTGGGCGTTCTGTAGGGACTCTGATCATGTGTCCAAGTACACAGTAATACCAGGGATGCTAAGGGAGAAATAAGGGAATTCTGTCTTCCTTCCCTGGCCTTAGTCTCCCGCTGGGGCCAGGGTGACTTGTTTAGCTGAAGGCAAGCCTCTCGGGTTGTGAGCAGAGAGGACTCTGGGGTTGTCCCTGGAGCTGAGAACCGAGCAACTCTACCTGACCTGTGTCCTGAAGCTCTCTCCACGGGCCCATCTCTGCCCCTCTTTAGGTCTGCGCTTGTTCCTTCAGTCAGCATGTAGAGGGATCCCAGAGCAACCTCTGCCCTGCTCATACCTAACGGGGCCGCACTGGCTTGCAGTGGTGCTATACTGCTTTGTAGTGGGTAATGGCTATCACCCATCTCCCCTTTCCTCAGAGTGATCGCACACTCAGATGAGAACCGGATGACCGCCCACAACCTGGGAATCGTGTTTGGACCAACGCTGTTCCGCCCAGAGCAGGAGACCTCTGACATGACAGCCCACGTGTTCTACCCTGGGCAACTGATCCAGCTGATGCTCACCAACTTCGACAGCCTCTTCACCTGACCAGGGCTGGGAGAGCGAGGGGCAAGGACATCTCCCCTGATCTGTCAGCCAGTCTTCGGAGGCTTTGACAGCGTCTTCACCTGAAGGACATCTCCCACCATCTGCCAGCCGGTCTTTGGAGAGGGATGGCAGGTCTTCTGCTTTGAAGACATCCCGTAAGCCCTCTCTCAGATGATACTCTCCCACCTGAGCTTTTAGGTATGGGAGTTTTCTGGACAGGAAGGCGCATGAGGCCCGTGTCCCAAAGATGACCCATAAGGTACTTGTTCCCAGCATTCCTTTATTGTCAGGAAACTGTCATTATTATTAAAGTTTTCTCCTGGAACATATGTAAACTAAATACAGCTCCCCAGCCCAATCTTCCCATCCCTGGTCACCTCGTGTAGCCATCTAGGAAACATGATCCAGATGGGATTCCTTATCCTTTTAGACACTAGAGTTGAGGAATTGTGTCTCTCCTGGCAGAGACCCCAGTAAGACACTCATGTTGCCCACTGCCATGTTGGGGGTCCCAGAGGGAGGTGGGGTATTTTTAGAGCTGTCCCCTTGCTCATGGGTAGGAGGAGGACTCAACCCCTGGGCCTCATCCAGAATAGCCACGAAGTCCAGCTGAGTGCTGTTCAGGTCAAGAGAGTCCAGAGGGTTGGATACCTGCCCTTCAGGGGGCGGGTACAAGGCAGGGCCTGCTCCTAATCTGCCCACTTCAGGATGGCCACAGCTGGGGTTGACACCCCCTACCTTGAGAGGTCCATAGTAGGAGGGCAATGGGGGCAGAAGCCGGGGTGGGGCTGCTGCCGGCCTGTGGGAAGGCCTGTTTGCCCCCGCCACGAAAGTCTCATGGCATGGCGAAGGGGTGGGAAAGGAGCCAGCCTTGTGACTGGCCACAGCAGGTGCAAAGCCAGATCCATATGCAGCTGCCGGACCCTTGACAGGGCTCTGATTAACCTGGGAGCCCACCAGAAACTTGGAGTTGTGATATGGAGGCTCCTGGGCGGGGAGCCCTCCCCGGCCCTTGCCCTCCCACATCAATTCCTGTTGCGACTGAACGTAATTGCACACAAGCTGAGCTTTGAGCTGTCCTGTGGAATGAGAGGGGGGGTCAAAATCGAGGCCAGGCCTGTGTTCTGATGGGAGATAATCATGGGGAGATCGAAGGCAGGGACCCGCCTGGGGATACTGGGGAGGAGGGGGTTGGGAGTAATGGGGAAATGGGGGTTGTGGGCCTGGGGAGCCCTCAGTGGAGTGGGCATTGAGGCAGGGTGCCAGTCCAGCGGAGTTCGACCCCACCAGGCACCCTTGTTCTGGTTTTACCTGCACTTGTCCATAATGTTCAAGTCGGGGACACTGGCTATAGGCTGCAGTTGGAGCCTTAGTGCCAGGATACATCCCAGAATGGGAAGGAAAATCACTCCATGTTTCTGGCGTGGGGTCAGGATAGGAGACCTGCTGGGAACAGTGGCTAGGGCCATAGCTGGCCAGTGGACCAGGCCCACGAGGCAGGGACCCTGGGCCCCTAGCTCCATAGGGCTCAGCCGCCGTTCCCTCAGATCCCCCATATCCCAGCGAGTCAGCAGATGAAAAGTCCATGTACGGGTTCAGACCGTTGCCCATCATAGAGGCCCCGACCTCTGGCTCCTCCTGTAGCCCTCTAGTGTCCATAGCAACGTTCTCAGTGATGCTGGGGGGCTGTGGTGAATAGACAGAGGTAGGAAGGTGGGGGTCGAAGTTCCTTCCCGTTGCCACACTAGGGGGTGTGTGGACACATCCCAAGCTCTTAAACCGCTGAACTCTGACTGGAGCAGGGTGGTCAGCAGCCCGGGCTGGGTCACTGGCTCTCCGGGTGACCCCTGCATTGGGGTTGTATCCTGGGTACTCAGCTCGGCTTCTCCAAGAAGGTACAGGAAGACTCCCCATCCGATCCAGGCTGTGTGCCACAGCGGGTGGGGTACCACTCCCCCTGGCCGAAGCGTATCTGGCACGGAGCATGTAGTGCTGGGCAGGCGTGAGGCCAGGTAGGGAGGACACTCCGTTCTCTGGTGGGGATCCAGGCGGGAAAGGGGAGGCCAGGGAGGAGCGGCGGCTGACCGTGTAAGCGGAACTGATGCTGCTGGAACTGCTGCTGCGGTGGTCAAGGGAGCCTGGGGGGCCCAGCCGGCGACTCACGGGTGTGCCTGCAAACGACAAGAGAAAAAGCCCCTGTGGGTCCCACCTGCCTATCCAGCAGGGTAGCCTTGACCTGGAACCCCAAGGAAAAAGCATCCTAGTCTTCTTCGCCCCAACCATGCTGTGTGTCTCCTTTCGCCAAGGATCCCAGGCAGTTATTATCTAGTACACTGCTGCAGTTACAGGGATAATGTGCCACAGACGGACTGAACACTCTTGCTGCCCCAGGCTCCGCAGTGGTGGGGCTACAGGCGTACAACCGCCACGCCTACAATTCTCTGATCGAAGATTCTTCAAGGAACAGGACTTTTTCAGATGATAAAAAGATGCCATGTGAGCCGGGCAGTGGTGGCGCATGCCTTTAATCCCAGCACTCGGGAGGCAGAGGCAGGCCGGTCTCTGAGTTCGAGGCCAGGCAGGAATGACAGCCTCCAAAACAATACATAGAAACCCTGTCTCGTAAAACCAAAAAAAAAAAAAAAAAAGATGCCATGTGGCAACTCAAAGGGTGACCTCATCACCTCAGCTTCAGGACAGGTCCGCAGCTCAGCTCAGCAACACCTCCCACACCCAGGTCTCACCAGCATGGGTTAAACTGGGCAGTTTGAGACCCCGGGACCCTAATGGCCCGAGCTGATGCAGCTGATCCAGCCTGAGGTTCTCCAAGCGGTGAAGTGTGGAAAGTCCGGCGCCCGCGACACACGGTCCTTCATCCAAGCTGGACAAGTCCTCAGTGCTGCCCCCTGTGTTGCCGGTCATCTCCACGCCGCTGTCAGTATTGGCTGCGCTGCCTGCCGGGGAGTGGCCACTGCTGCAGGAGGACTGTGCTCCCGGACTCTGCTGAGGTTTCTGTGAGGGGGTTGAGAGCAGAGGGTGGTACCCGCCCCACCGGGGGAGTGGTTGAAGCCCGTGCCGCAGTGATGGCTGAGGGCAGTTAGGCAGGGGTGGAGAGGACCAAGCAGACAGGAAGTTAGGGAGAAAAGGGGATTCCCCACCAGCGAATGGAGTGTCCCCCTGCTGGAGTAAAGGCTCCAGGGCTCCAGTCCCCCTCAGTTCTATGACCTGACGATTTATCTTTGCCTGCTTGCTCTTTTGGAGGAAAAAAAAAAAGTATGCACACCTAAGGCTTGGAACTATATAGTTAAGTGCTACTTAAGAGCGAGTCCAGCGGGCGGTGGTGGCGCACGCCTTTAATCCCAGCACTCTGGAGGCAGAGTCAGGCGGATGTCTGTGAGTTTGAGGCCGGGCTGGACCGATAGCCTCCACAACAATACAGAGAAACCCTGTCTTGTAAAAACCAAAAAAAAAAAAAAAAAGGCGAGTCCATAGGGGGCTGAGGATTTGCTTAGTGGTGGAGAATTCGCTTACGTATGTTCATACTCCCAGAAGCACCCCCCCCCAAAGTGAATGTGTTGGACCAGTTAAACAAATGACAATTGTAACAGCATTCTTAGATCTAGAGTCTACGCCATGGAGCAACTCTGAAACTAGAGCTAGGCAGGCTGGCCACAGAAGACTGCATATAGAAGGGGATGCTTCTAGGAACAGGCTGGGAAGAGGAGAAGCAGGGCATGATGGGGTATGGAGGCAAGACTTTCTAGACTGGCTCACCATGACACCCTCGGGCACAGTCAATCTGCTCTCTTCCCTGGTGGGCCCTCCTTCCCTTTCCCGCTTGGGCTCCACCGTGGAAAGGGACGGTGCCCGTGGCAAAGGGCCGTCCCCTCGATGCCTCTTGGTCACATGGGCATCAGGACCATGCACCGTCTTGACATGTTTGCGGAGTGAGCTGGGATCCGTGTAGCGCTTGGTGCAGCCGGGCAGCTTGCATACATACGGCTTCTGTTGAGTAGCATTGCCCAGCCGGAAGGTCAAGGGAAGAAGGCAGAACACAAACAGAATGGGGAAAGCTACAAGACTGGTAAGCAGGGAGGACACAGCCTTCGAGCAAGAAAGGAACGAGAGCCCCTGGTGACTAAATCAGGAGACACTTAGAAAGGGTTAAGGAAACAGATGGTGTGGGCTTAAGAAAAATAAGATGATCCCCCCCCCAAGGCTGTGAGGCCACATAAATGCAGAAGTTGAAGGGTCAGGGGCTACTGTACACTGACCCTTTGGCTGGCTAGACCAAAGAGCGGCACTTTTCCCAAGTGTTTGTGGTATAAATCACACTATGGGGGAACTTGCCACTGGAGTGAGTCCTGGGTTAAAGGCCTCTTTACGAGGGGGGCGGGATTGCTTCAAAGGCAGCACGTGTGAGGAGTCTGTAGTTGGGGCATTCACCTCATTAGAGTGTGTCCGATTCTGGTGTTTGGCTCGGTCACTGGCGTTGCTGAAGGCCTTGCTGCAGCCTTCATGTTCACACATGTAAGGCTTTTCACCGGTATGCGACCGAAGGTGCGTCTTCAGGTTTTCAAGGCGTGAGTATGACTTCCGACACCCTTCAAACTGAGGGACAGGAAAGGGGTTGAGCAACGTTTCTCAGACAGGACACGGATATTTAAGGTTTACACCAGAGAATATAACTAAAAATGGGGGACATGGGAACCTCAGAGAATTTCAGGAGTTGGCCAGGCACAAGGACAGAGAAAGCTGGGAACCACTCAGGCAGGGCAGGGGACGGCCGGGAAGTAGGGAGCATCTGGGAGCAGGTCCCCCTGTACAGAGCTCAGACTGTCCTAAAGTGACATCATGAGTGTCCTACAACAATGATGCAGGGCCTGTCCACTAGGCAAGGTAGTAAGAGTACTAAGGGGCCCCGCAATAAGGAATTTATAAGTATGTTTTCATTTATTATTATTATTTTGGTTTTTTGAGACAGGGTTTCTCTGTGTAGCCTTGGCTATCCTGGAACTCACTCTGTAGACCAGGCTGGCCTCGAACTCACAGGGATCTGCCTGCCACACCTCCCGGGGGCTGAGATTAAAGGCATGCGCCACCATGCCCAGCATATGTTTTTATTTCTTTTAAAATCAAAGAGAAAATAGGTTTTTTTGATCCAAAACTTAATTTTGTTTTGTTAATTGTTTGCTATTTATTCATCTATGAGATAGAGTGTCATTGTGTCACCCTGACTAGCCTGGAACTCATCATGTAGACCAAACTGGCCTTGAACTCACAGAGATCCGCCTGCCTTTGCTGCCTAAGTGCTAGGATTAAGGG